ACCAACCCACCCACCCACCCCCTATAATCAAAAAAAGGAGTGATCTAAGCACCCACCACTCCAGTCAAGCCTTCATGTTCTGGAGGCTCACGGCCTTGACCTCGGTCGGGGTCAGCATCAGCGCCGATGTGGCAACCCGGTGGAGCTCCTCCTGGGGCCCTGCGTCCTCCGGGCTCTTCTCTTGCAACGTGGAGATTTTTCTCTTTCGGTGATACAATGTCTGCTTGCTGATCACGCCCGTGAGCACCTTGCCGATGTCCGAGGGATCCATCATGGCGGCGGACTGGTCGCCCTTGGAACTCTTCTCCTCGGTCTTGCGCTGCCTTCGTTCCTTCGGCACGGGGTCCACCTCCTTCTCCTTGTCCTTGCCTTTCTTCTTCTCCTTCTCCTTGTCTCTCAATCCAGAGGCGGCTGCGGATGTGTCCGGCTTGTCGGCCACGGCCTTGCTGTCCTTGTTGCCCTTCTTGGCGGAGCGAATCAAAGCCTTGTTGTCCTTCTTTCCGGGCCGGTCACGGGCGTCCTCCTCGTCCATCAATCCAAGGCTGTGCACCGTAGGCATGGACGTTTCCACCTCCGGCACCTCCTGCGGGATTTCCTGGCAGGAAACTGCTATGAGGCTATGTCAGAATCAGAGTATGCTGCGATTGTTTTTCAGGCATTCACAGATTCACAGATTAACCACAAACTGGAATCAGACCCACACGTGTCTAAGTCTAGGACAGGATGGTGTTCAACGGTGTTCATGAGACATAGTCTTCAACCATCAAATCAGAGTCAAATCAAATTGGAAGTGGCCTGGCTCGCACCGAGATTGAGGATATTCGCGAAGCTTTCGTTCTCCTGCGTACTTGCATCCATGGCGCTCTTCACCATTTTCGCCTTCTGGACCTCTGCCTTGAAGTCGGCCATTGTCCAGGGTGCACCGTGCAGGCTCAACGGGTTGGCCTTGCTCTTCTTGTTGTCCCGGAGCTGCGACCACGTTTCGTAACCTTGGCCCTTTCGGAGGCAGTTGCGTGCCGAGCTCTGGATGTCCTGCATGTTGAAACTTTCAGCAATTCTCGTGAAGCCCGGTTTTCAAGGACCGATGAGAGTTCCGAAAGACTGATGCCAAACTCGAGACGTTAGAGTCAGAGATAAAACTCAACAACAGAAATCCAACACATAGAACCACACTGCTATGACATAACCACACTCATGCTGATAAGTGAAGAGTTTTAAAATGACGAGCAAGTGTGTGTGTGTGTGTGTGTGTCTGTGTGTGTCTGTGTGTGTGTCTGTGTATGGGTGTGTGTG